TTACATCTAAGGGTAGAGATCGCGCTTTTTTGAGTTATTGAAATTCCAGATACCGAAGTACATAATAAAATATTTTTATGTGCAAGTTGCTATGTAACCCTCTTTCTCAAACCATGTCCGTGAACTCTCCAGTTTTTCACAAAAAGTGTATCCGATTTATTTTTAAGAAAACGTTTGTGGGAACCAGATGTTCCCCGTATCTCTGTCTAATCCTACTTCAGGCAGGCCGTGGGGCGTCGCCATGTCGGGGTGTGTCTCGGACGCGAGGAAAGACCGTACTTCTCGGGTTACTTGACACCGCCACACCCTTGGGACCTTAATATGTGAACGCGTCCGCCCCTCCTGGGGACGAACCTATACTTTCGATAAACCGGGACACGTCCATTCCCGCAGGCTACATAAGCCGGCCTAAAAGAACGGTTGGGGACTCTCGTTGGGGGAGGCTCTGTTTGATGGAGCCCTGCTTCCTTGTCGTGATCCTCCCCGTTCCATGATTCTGCCTATTGCGGCAGCGCGCGCGGAGTCCGAGTGAGTACCCTGGGAGCGCTGGTATCTCGGACTTTGTTTGCCTTCGGGAAAACGTGTTGACATTGAAGTCAATAACCACGTCATCCAAGCGACCTACTGTGTTCCTACGTGGTACCCTCGAACGAGGAAACTTACATCTGGCGCCCCAACGTGAGGCCAGTCGAGCGACTGGAAACAATGCAGCCCTCACCTTTTTGCAATGACAGCGGACCAGGCAAATTTGCTGCCTTGGATTTCATAGACGGTGGGAGAGGAACATGCCCAAAATCCGACGCCACGCAACGGCTTTGTGACTACGTCAGCCACACACGGACACAATGAGCAAGTGTGCTCTAGCCGAGTTCTCTCAACGGGGTTGATTCACAATGCCCGGAATCCAATCGTGGCACTTCTTGGAGTGCGCCAACCTTCATCGCTCAGCCAAGCCTACCTTTGACTTTTGAAGTCAAGATGGATCCGATAGAACAATAGACGATGGCGCAACGCAACTTACGGCGTCGGTCTCTTTACCTCAGACTGGCCGATAGATTCCCCACAAGGACATAGTACTGACGCCGTCTACGAGCTGCAGCACAACAAAGTTGCTACAAGCGCAGCACACCACTCGACGGGCCAACACGAAGGGAACAGCCCGCCAGCCGTACATGCGGAAAGCGGCTCTCAGCGCAGATAAAACACGCTTCGCGCATATCACCTCCTGCTAGAAAGTGCAGACGGGTGATCGAGAGCTTGAGGGGAGCACCGCAAGCAATGACCCGGCCTCCGCCGCCGTCACGGACACCGGTAAGAATCCCCATCCCGGCATACTGAGGGGTACGGAAACCGACTGAGTGTGGCACACTTCCTCGAGGACCTGACAAAGTACATTCAGGCCATGGGAATGTAAAAAAACGGGATACTTGAACGCATCTGGCCAATTTTGTCGGTGGAGAAAGCGGCCCCGGTGGCTCTGTCTAATCGGAAGTCAGCTGTCGTCGATCAACCAGTTCCGCAAGACATTTCGCCAAGAATTCGTCATTGCGCAGTACGAACACAGGATTAGGCGAGAGCTCTAGCAACGTACCCAATACTCAGACGAGTCGCAGTTGGAGTTCGTGAGGGCGATTCAAGACCGATTTGAGCTGGAAGAATCCTCAGCGAGCGATGCTGAGCGTGTAGAGGGAGTAATTCGACAATTGCAGCCGACATTTGAGGCGTATCTCGAAGACACTGAACGAACTGGTCTTGGAGGCTCGGTGGTTCAGACATTGTGGCAATTCGAGCGTATCGTCCCCCACCGCCAAGGACAGCGGCGCTTGATCCGCGCTGCGTGTGGAACGGGAACGCGGCGCCCGGAAAGAGGAGACACGAAATCACCCCTACTCCTTTCAACGGCGGGCAGCAGAGACCGAGCCGCAGTTCAACAGACGAGATGGGAACACAGAGCGATGCCACAGGAGGAAACGCGGACAATCGTTTATACACAATGGACGAAAGGCGCGGCGCGGCGCGCGTCAGAACTTGAGACAGAACTCAATAAGGGTACTAAAACAACGTTGTTTTCGCTGTAACAGCGCCAACCACTTGGTTAGCCAATGCCCAGAAAGGCAGAACCCTGGTTTTCAACGGTTGGGAAAGGAGCAAAGCCGCCTATATCCGAACCAATCGTCTGTCGTACGTTCAAGGCACTGCTGGGCACAGGAGCCGGCGCCTCGCTTTTTGGTGATGATGTGTTTACCCACATCCGGCAAAACTCAGTGTGTCTCAGGAAAGCAAACACTGCCTCCCGACTAGCGTGCGGCTTCGCTTATTCAATCGGCACAGTGCGGTTGGTTGCGAGATGGGAGAATCGACGTCCACACTTCGTTCATCTTCCGACTCTTTCCGTGTCGGTTGTCTTGGGCAGAAATGTTTACACAGGTGTCGTTATCAACATCAGTAGCGGTGGCTACCGAGAGGGCACCTTCGTGATTGTGAAACATGATGCGAACATCCAACGCTTTTCTGCGACACGCGCTCCCTCACGCTGTCGCGTGAAGGAGCTCGTGTCGCAGAAAAGCCGAACTCGGTGGTATGGCAGAAATGCCGGCGTCTGTGGCCTGGCGCGAATCCTGATTGGTCGATAGTTTCATGACGTCACAGTTACATGACCTCGCGCGGGACTTCCAAACAACCCACAACGCTCAGGTGAAACGTGGCGTCCCGTGTGGAATGAAAGTGATTAAGAAACATGACGAGTAATGCGAACTAGAGGTCGCCGCATGTCTCAAATGATTTCACTTCATAAAGTAATGATTTCGCCTTAAAGAGAAGCTTGAAGAATTTAAGGCAGGATATGAACCCACGACCTTTCGGTTACGAGCCAGACACGCCACTGACTAGGCAAAGCAGGGTATGGTTGTGCGGCGAATGAGTAGGTGATGCGAACTTAGCCCAATAACGCTATCGCGTTCCACTCTTAAAGGCTAGTCTTAAGCGTCCTGTTAATTTTTCAATATTTTTGCGCTTCATTTCAGATGAACAGCACCATGGAAACTTCTGCATTTTACTTGTCTTGATCGGAATATAATGCTGTATACCATGTTTTGTCAAGGTCTGTAAAAGCGCTGGAGGCTAAGTTTGTTATAATCGAAGAGCAATTTATGTTCGTGAAATTATGGTAAACGTTTCTGTAATTTCCCTTTTTATGTCAAAAGACAGCTGGTTGTATGGGGTCTTAAGCTGAAACGGCAACCTTTCGGTTTGTACAAATGGATAATGTCAAATATACGTTGAAACCCCCGAAGCGTGAATTTTCGATATTACAATCTCACAGTGGTTATTAGTACCTTAGACAAACACATTACCAGCATGACTTTTTAAACTGTTTATTTGTAAAGAGCAGGTAAAGCCAAGGAAGTCAAATAAGATACGGGCCTTTCTGCCGTATCGTGACTCGTGTTATCATCCCACAGGGATCCCCAGTGAACACCGGGAAGATTAAAATTTCCCCAAAAAAGAACGCAGTACCGGCACCGATCAAGCTTTGCCTTAAGCGAACTGAAACAATGAAGACACTGCGACGCACAGAATTCTAGCGGAAAGTGATAGTTTCTAATTAGCAAATTTGTCCAATCTTTCAATAGCACCTCAACCTACACGCATCTGGAATAATCCTTAATAAGGTCTTTTCCATAGAAGGAAACATCTTTATAACAGTCAAAAACGTTTGCCGGACTTAACAGGGTTCCTATGGTTGGAATGTACCCATTATAGTTTTCTCCGGAACACACAGAGGAGGAATTTCTTGGGTGTAACGACGTTTTTGTCCGACAATAAATGTCGTAGCTATTTGCATTTACGCTATTTGAAAATATATCTGATTTAGTTCGAAGACCGCGAACGTTCTGGTAGTACACGGTAGTACTTTCGTACGAGAAACTAGACATGTTCAAATATCTAATAAGTTTGAGGTATCAAAGTGGTCAGTCGGTTCAGATCTCAATGCTTCGAAGAAAGGCCGAAAAATACCACCAGATGGCCAGACATTCGGACCGATAATTAAGCAAAGCAGTCAAAGCCCACAGAGATGTGGAAAGGTGCTTAGCTCTCGTACTTGGAGGGGAGTTTCGCTCACTGAACTGACCTGCCTTGCAGAGCCTCCTCAGTGACCTCGAATATCACAGATGTCGTTTGTCGTGGGGGGCGGTCTCGAGATGAAAGAAGCACGCTTAATCGGTGGACGAGGCACAACGCTCAGCCTGCTCTCCACTTGCGACCACTTAAGAGCGTCCAACCTTCCTTTACGATAAGTAAGAGTGTAACTTTAAGCGTCCGGCTGTGGCCGGCGAGGTGGCAACAAAGGCACCTTTTCGGGCTGAGGGCCCGATATATTCTCTGTGTTTTGTTGTAACACCAGTGCAGTGGTCGCCACCTCCTGCTGTCGAACAACTAGGCCGCTCTACAACTGACGCAAACGACTTCGAAGAGCGAAGCGCGGTCTCAGGAACGCGAGAAAGAAATTTCCGCCGGAAGGAATTATTATTATTTTTTTTTTTGCGATAGCTGCGCGTGGAGGGATTCGTTATCGACCGTCGGGAACTTGAGTTTCACCAAAAACCATCAATCTCGTTGAGAAGATTGAGAATGGATAAACATAAATTATCAAAACCTTCTAAAATAAAAAGGTTTGTTTCGCTCGCTCACCCCAGCCTTGACAATATGTTTTTCCCCTACTGCCTTAGACCGGAGTGAGTGATGTCCTATTGAGTGCCAAGCCATCTCAGGTTTTGGAGGATTTTGTTCTTACGACCTTAATTAGTCATTTAAACCAAAATAAACAACTAAAATAACTATCTTTTTTGCGGAACTATATTTAAGTCAGTGAAGACGGTACCGAAGATATTGACTCATTTAATTGGTAACACACGTATCCATCTTAGCTCCAGTTAGATTCAGTCGTTATACGTTCAGTCGTAATACGTAAAGGTTCAGTCGTAATAGGAAGTTATCATTCATTCGGTCTCGTTTAGAAGGCGGCGTTGGTCCGGAAAACACAGAGACTTCATCCACAAGACAAACGTGACCGGTAGCTGGAAGAAAGTAAAACAAAACATTAACGTCTTGATCCAGCAGCGGTTTATTCTGGTTATTGACAGATAGAAACACACTGCGTGGCTTGACACAATCAAGCGTCCTTGCTTCGAGTTACGTCCTTGTGCCGTTGTTATGAGCCAATACCGCAAAACAATTGGTTGCAGAACTATCATAAAATGCTAGGGGATCACCATGTCCTGCGTTTGATTAAGCTCTCAACGACTACAGAACAAAAAAAGAATGTACATCTTTAATTTGCTGTTCTTTACTTGTACCCATACATAACGCTCAGAAACTGCAAAGGGCTAGGCTCAAGAGCCGAAACATCGCGGATTATGGAATAACTTAGGCTCATAAAATAAACTTTAATACCCTTCCTTAAGGGGCTACAACACATTAGGGTGCGAATTTGAGTGCATCAGCACGTAACTTGTTTGTGAATTTCTCGTGGCGGCAAAATATTGCGCTCTAAAAGTAATTTTATTCCTGTACCATCTAACCCGAATTAAGTTTGTATTATAGCATGAAAAAAGAAGCGCTGAGAATGTAAAACAGTCATCTTTGCGGCGCGATGACGTCGTACCCAGGCAAGCAGGAGTCCAAACATGGCCAAGGAAGCAATCCTGTATCCAAAAGTATCGACCAAGTACCCAGCGATAGGAGGCATGATCATGGCACTGTATAAAAATATACACGTAGATGTTTCTTGAGGTCCTTCACTAATCGATTCAATATTATGTATTAAAACATTAATCATATAAGATTTTTTACTCGGAGGTACTCTCTAAACCTTCCCTATATCACTGTTGGCATCATTTCACGGTTCAGATCGTGTCGTTATGACTGGGGGACGACGCTTCAGTGGTGGATACCACCCAAATCTTAAAACCGAAAACGACGAAAGTTAAGTCAAGTATTTTTACTCGAGTAGTTTCCAAACACTTTTCTAAGACTCAAGTCTTTGAAGTTGTTTTGTTCAATGTCTAGAAAAGACATCAAAGAGCTGCTACGCTTTTTTTTTTTTTCGCTTTGCAATGGGTGTTTGATGATTGTTAAAAACTATGACCTTTACTATTTTACCATCTTTTCATGACAATACATCGGAAAAGTTTACAAATAATGCAAAAAAAAAAAAAAAAAAAACATCGCATAGAAAAGGGTTTATGTTTCGCGAACATATAGATTTACGAGAAAAGAGTCAAAGTACAGGCTAGCTGGTGGAAGTCAACCATTTCGTCGTTTACCCTGAGACTGGGGGGTTTTTTGAAGAGCAGAAGACCTGTCTGTTTTTTCTGTTTCTTCTGCTCTTCAAAAAACCCCCCAGTCTCAGGGTAAACGACGAAATATAGATTTAATTTTTTTTTTAAATTTTATTACGTTGATGCGCATTGTCCCTCGTTAAACACTTCTGTTGGTCAAGGAACATAACGCGAGGAGTACAACCGAAAACTTTTATATAAGAAAACTATCACCCGGCTAATTTGGTCCGCTTTTAAAACCTTCACCATTATGAAACACTCCCAGCGTAGAAAAAAAAAAAAAAAGGTTCGGGATATAAGTTGATTTTTTTTTTTTTCTATTTCGTCTTCGAGAATTTTTCACACATAATGCAGTGCCTAATGTGGTCCTAATTGCTCAAGCGAGGTATTAAGCTATCAAAGCTTTAACTATTCTCATTTAAAACGCGCAGTATAGTTGAACGTTGTTTTTGCATCGTGATGGTTAAAAAAAAATGAAATTGAAAGGGCGTGTATTTCAAACCCCCTTCCAAACACACACAAAAATAATATCGAACTCTACTGCTTACCCAAACACTGCAAAAGTAAACACTGAGCTTGAAACAAAACCATTCGAGTGAATGTTGTACGGATATCCCCTAAGCCTGGAAAAGAAGAAAATATTCGAGTTTCATACAGCCGACACACCTACAGAGCGGTTTTCTAACTTACACCACGAGTTTCAGAGCACGACTGTATCCACAAATGAAAAGTGCGGACATTCCAAGACCTGTGAAAACTTGAGACAGGTGGACCACCCACAGTTCCCTGTGATGACCAAACACAAATCTGTTGAGGCACAACACTACCTTTATCCAAGTGACATGTTTCTTAACATTCCTGCACGTATTGTCTCTTCCATTTTCGATATAGCCGTGTTTTCTACGTGGTGTACTGGAATGACGAGATAGTAGCCTTGCGACGCTGACTCGCTGGACTATCACTTCCTGTAAGCAGTAGAATGACGTATAGAAGCCTTCGGTGCACATAAAAGACCGATTTCTAGCCTTCCCTTCATTAGTCTAGCCAACAACAGGAAACACCTTGTTGTCTTCCAATGGGCGTGCCTGCCTCTTGGAGAGTGTAGCAAAAAGGGGCAGGCACTGTGTGTCAGTGAGACTGCTGGCTCAGTAGAGCCTATTACCAAAACGGATGATCACTCTTGTTTGTTAAACTGCACAAAATAAATAATAATATTTTGTGTTTCGAGGATATTAAAATGTGGTGTACTCTCGAAGACATCTGAGGGTGTACACGAGCATGGCGCCGGGAGTGCTTCTCCGACTGGTGCGTCTACAGCGTTCTCAAAGGTGGTCCCTCGATTCCCGCCTGACGACGTCATGAAAGCGTTATGCTGTTGCCTGTCGAGATTCTTGCGGTGGCGCAGCGGGAAAGGGAGACGAGGCAGTCGCCTGCACTGCGGCAGGTACGCTCCGCACGCAGGCAATCTAAGAAAACCCAAGCTGCGATGAGTTGGAAGACCGCGACGTCAGCCACAGTTGCGTCCGCTCATCTTTTCTGCCATAATGTATTCAAGCAACCACAAGGACCGCGACATCAGCGCGACCACACCGGCGCCTGTGACAAAATTCGTGTCCACTTAAGGACCATTTTCGATACGTGGGTTGGTTTCGCCCGTAAAGACACCCCTCAGAAGAAAGTTTTAGGAAACCGCCATTGCACGTCCGATACGGTACGGTGGGCCCTCCGGTACGAACAGCGCATGCGTTACCGCAGAAGACTCACGCATGCGCAGTTCGTACCGGAGAGCCTATTTTTTCTGCTGTGCCACCGCAAGAACCACGTTTACACGTCCGGAGTACCGGATGTGTAAAAACGGTTGCCTAAAACTCTCTAAAGACGCGTTCCAGATACCATAGAATATGATATAGGCTTTGAAGTTTTGCCTCTTACGCACCGTTTCAGCTCGAGAAATGGAGCCGGCCCTACCATGAGAAAGGCAAGCACAGCAAAAATATTTCCCACAAATTGGTAGAGGGCTTCCCCCTGTAATGTATTAAAAAAAAAAAAAAAAACGAAAAACAAACAAATGCGCGTTAGAATTTTCCGGCTGCTTGGGGACACACAGACATCAAGCCTGACGCAGCGTTAGAGTGCACATTTGCAAGGCGTAGATGATTATGAAATGCTTAAATTAATGTTTTATGTATAATATACACAATAACTGTTAAAAAAATCACGCGCACATAGTGGTTCGCCGGTGCCAACCACCGGCCAATTAAAAAGGTTCCTCAATGTGCACTTAACCATCTATTCGTAATAATATTAGAGTATACGTGGGCACTGTCACGAGCCCCGTCAATTTGCTGAGGCGCTTGATGTTATCGGATTACGAAAAACAAAGAAAAAAACAACACACACACACACAGACAGTCATGTCACATTTTGTGTTTGTTTGCAAACACAAAGCGTCCCTAAGAAGTTAATGAAATAAGTGCACAGCGGCCGATTTCGAGCTTGACGAGCTTTCCCCCTGAGTAGAATCACGCAATGCTTTCATTTAACATCTGTTTAACCGAAGGATCGACCTTTGAAGGCACACAATTAAAATAATAGTGTAACAGATTCTCTTCACAAATTGTAAACATGAACGCCGATATTTTTTTTTTCTTTTTCAGACAAGCAGTTTTACGATTTTTTTAATGAACATCTTTTAGTTGGTTACAACGCCCCTCCATTCTAGTATACTCTAGCTTGGACTCCTCACAAACGCGCACATGCATTTGTTTTATTTGAGAACCATGTAGTCAAATTTTATTACGACAGAGGTGGCACAGTTTTCAAAAGCAGTTTCCCCGTTATGTTTCGCTGCTACATGGTACGACTGATTAACTTAACAACTTTTTTGAATACTCCAAACCTATTTATGACGTGTAACGGAAACAGGAGTTGAAATGTGAGCCGGCCGCACTGAGGGAAACCGGCATTCGATAAAGTTAAAAAAGTCTGCTTTAATAATACACTACTTGCTGGGATAGGACTTACATTAAAAAAACATAAGATCCCGGCGATGGCTCCACCAATCGTGTAGCTCCCAAATTGCACTGTGTAAAGTTCACCTGTTTGCGTGCTGCTTATGTTAAACTGAAAAAAAAAGACACGTAAGGTTTAACTTTTAAGAGTGTTTCACATCTTAGAAGGGTAATGGAATACTGTAAACGACATATTTTTGCTGGCTCAATATTTCGAGATTTAGGTCAAAGCTGAAGTTTTGGAATAATTCGCGGGTTTAAATTTTCACGACGCGGTGAGATCTGAATGTAGATTCCAATGTGTTTCCATTTTACCGGAATTGTTCGCGAGACCTATTTTCGGCTAATCGTAACCGATTCGTGAAATTCGCAAAAATATGGTCATCGCAAAAATGAACTCGTTTACAGTATTAATATCTAACCTAAAAAATGAAGAGAGTCAGACTACATATTCACGTCTAATGAAAATTTGTGCACATGTGATACACTGAAGGTCAACGTTTGTTTTCGTTTCAAAAGCTGAACCGCAACTTTGAACAGTAATAATTTCTCGAAACCAATCGTTTTTTTTAAAGAAGCCGTCGCAGCGTAGAAAGTCTAACCCTGGGAGTGAATTTAACATATACACTCGACGTAACGTAACCACTTTTAATGACACCGTGATCAGACTTTCACGCGCTGTAAAGATCTAACTGTAGGCTTCAGTTTGTAGTAAAATAAACGCTAATGCGTCTACTCTGCGACCGAATGCAGTCTCGTATGCAACCGTTGTCATGTTACAGTATGAGAAGGTTCTGCACACTTGCTGTCCTGCTATGCAATCAGACTCGGTTTTCCCTTAACCAGTTTAGCTGATATGAAGTGTTATAGTTACCTCGCCGCCAGCTTAAAAGATAGAGAGCATGAACAGTACCTAGAATATTATTCTCAATCCGCAGCTAATAAAAGCTTGGGACGCTTAAAGGGCTACTCCGGCCATTTTTCGAGCTATCCAAACTAATTGCATTTTCTGAAGACCCGCACTTTACTCTTCACGGTATGCCATTTACTGTCTCGAAATTCATAGCAGCTATTGAGCAAACCGTAAATAAAGATGATGCCGAAACAAACATTTAAATTTCTGCACGCTCTCCAATGATGTGACGTCACAAACCGTACAGATTTTCATATCGCATAGGTGGCATTATACAGAGTACGACGAGCGTTTTTTGCGTGCTTCTCAGTGAATGATCTTACAAGCATTCTTTTCCCACCACCAGACGTTTTGTAATTAGTTGGGAACGCTGCTTACTGCCCACTTTGTACCATTTATGTCGTTACACATTAGTGGTGCCACTAGGGGCTAACGGCTTGAGAAACACGATTAGAACGAAATTCAAAAATTAAATAGCGTGGCGAATTGCTTTTTTTTCACATAATATTTGGAAGGCTGTTACAACCGTGTCTATCGATGTGTTGAGCCAATATTGAGGAAAAGCAGCGACCGTGAAAAAATCGCTGAAGTACACCTTTAAACATCGCCTTTAATGGGCCACTGAAAAAAAAAAAGCATTTTTTTTTAATCAGTTTCGTTTGAACACGCATGACACAAATAAGTTTTACGACAAAAAAAATTTATAGGAATATTGACGGCGCGAAATTCATTTGAAAGTATGCACGCAAAGATCGTGACGTCACGGGATGGTCATACAGTCCTTCCACCTCGACGGGATGGTCATTCACTCTCTTCACCTCAACGTGATGGCCAAGCCGATCTATATCTGCTCTACGCGCCCGAAATGCCGACGTCACATATGACTACCGACTAAATCGCGTATCGCGCAGTCAATAATGCTGTGAAACGTTTTTTTTTTTCCCGTAAAATTCTTTTTGCAGGCTTTTCCCAACTCGATTGAAAAAAAATATGTACTGTTTAGTTGTCTTTTAAGAATGGAACACTTTAGTGCTTCCGGACCCCGTTCGCAAAACCTCCTAATATAGGCGCACTCGCTCCCAAGCTGTACAAGCGTGTGTGCATGGTCTAGTCGGTAGGGTCACGAGTCACTTGACGTCATACGACGTGACACGTCACGACAGGCGTGGCTGTGACATTATTGCCCTATCGACCCGCTAAATTTTGCGGAAAATTTTTCTACTAACTTTGTCGGCAAAAATGTTTGGTTAAATTTGGCGGGAAATTGACGTGACGTAACGTTTGACGTCAAATGTGACGTCAAACGTAGCTGCGCGCGTTTCATTATGAAATTTCTTGGTCCCACCGACGCCAGAGTTTGTGTGACATACGCTCTAAAACGCCATCGCTTTAAAATTGCGGCATATAGTCAATGAAAACTCTGAGGGACAAGTCACAAGGCAAGAGGCGCGAACAGAATAGGTCACGCTTTGCGTTTTTCAGGCTGTCAGGGATCTCCCGGTGCAAAAACTGAGAGAAAGGATAAGAGGAGAGCGCGCGAGGACGGCAGAGTACCGAGCTCTGGTTGGAATAATTAGTCTGCAGACTCAAAGCTAGCTTCCTTTGTCTCCACTCACAGTTTGAACACGTTCTAAAAGTGCTTAGAGACCTAGCTTTCCGTCCACCCCCCTTAGCTTCGAATCGCCCAGTTGTATCGCATCGAATACTCATAGAGACATAGGGGCAACAAGTAAGCGCCCACGCCCTAGCCACCGAAATTGACGGTCATTCAAGTCACTGAACCATGGATCTAATGGCCCTTCTTATTTATTGAACTCACTAAACAAACATAATTGATTGGTGTTCCAATTGGCTCGCGGTGCAGCCTACAGTGGAGTACTTACAGAAAGGGAGTGCGCGAAATGAGTAATGGCGTACACTTCTCCGCATTGTAGAGACCAAAGCAATCATACCAATGTGTACATACTCAAGCGCTTTCAACAGCACTGCCTTCGACAGTGAGAGCTGCTAACTTGACAAAGAGAGGAAAGTCACACCTCCGCAACGCTTGGCGCCAGTGTGGGTTCGTTGAAACCCAGCATAATCCAGCAGAGCATGGGTGCTACCAGGTAGGCGACAAATTCCACATCACGAAACAGGTTACGGTACTTCACTCCGGATTGTTTCGCATCATCTTCGGACGTGGAGGATCCTCCTGTCAACATGCATTAATAATGCACATTTATTTCACAACGATGGCCTTCCGTAGGTTAGATCTTTCCTCTAATAAACCTGCTGGTTTTTAACGATAAAACTTACTTCCGAGTTTGTTGAGACTTGATCCGAGTTTCACGGTCATCGGAAAAGATACGATGGTGATGAAGCCCAATACAAAGAACGGAAGAGGAAAAGCCCAGAGCTGTAAGTTTTAATAACGGTGAATGAGTGAAAGTGTGTCACGCAAGCATCATCGACCGCGTCGTATTTTAATTTTTTTTTTCCGTCGATGCTTTGACTTATTCTCGAAGTAGCATCAAGAAACATCACCAGAGCCGTGGGGTCGCGAATCTGATGTTTATACTCCAAAAACCGAGTGGACGCAGGCGTCCCTTTCGTCGCGGCGCCCGAAGTCAAGCTAGCTTTAGTTCATGTCGACTTGCCGGCCGCAGAGCATAGCAAGCTAGTTGTTTAGGCGTGTGCCGTGTTCACATCTGCTGCTGTGTTACTGTTAGGGTAGAAGTAACCCGCGGCACTGCAGTGTAGTGAGGTCGGTGGCCGAATGTTTCAGTGCACCGCAAATCCGGAACACGTGGAGTGGAATCTCGCGCGGTAGAACGAAAGTGTCCTCTGTACATTACTCTTCCTGCCACTTGCGATCTGCGTGAAAATCAAGCTGACTTGCGGTAATGTATCACTACTGCGTGATAGACTTTAACGATCGCAGGCTAGCAAGTCGTGCTGAAGTAGTTAAATTTTATATTTTTAGCGTAAACCAGTGTCGCCAATCTGAAAAGCACATCAATATCGGTATGTGTAAACACTTAATATTTACTATGTTGTCTTTTCATTTTTAGGACACAGCCGGCAACTGAATCGACAAATTAAACAAGAAAAGTCGAGAGAGGCGCTCCAGGCACTATAGACAAAGTAAAACGTAACATAAATATTGATTCACACAAGGAATGCAACACCCAATAACAACAGCTTGTACAGTCATACGGTCATCTACAGTCATACGGTTATGTTTGGTAAATACTGGTTCCGTTTATGAATACCCGGTATAGACACATTTTTCGTGGTCGAAGTGGGTAAATGCGTGCATTTTTGTCTCGGAATTATGAACGAGTCATATCATGAACCGTTTCTTCAGTGAACGAAGGTGGCCACATTTTAACGGCGAAAATACATCATGATGAACATTTGCATTACCATACCATCCACAACCGCACATCACCTGGATGAGCCATGCGTGGCTCATACTCGAGCTCGCAGGACAATGCTGCTCCGGGGCTGGGCAACACCACCTAGACAGAAGGCCTCCACACGCGTCATCATAGTCAGATCGATCGAGGCGAGAGATTGGGCACGAGCGCTGCATCAGTGTTCGGCTGCGGCTCGTGGCCAATCAGCGCGTCGAAGGTCGGGCTCGGGTCCAATAGCCGACCGAGCGCGATCCGACTGTGATGACGTTTCATAGAAGAAGAGGAAACCATGCGGAGGCCTTCTGTCTAGGTGGTGTTGGGCTGGGCCAGTGAAGTCGTTGCTTTTGGACGTTATACTGTGTCTCCCTTATAAATGAAATTTGGAACTGGGAGCGGCAACTGTGATGTTACGGTAGCGAAGCTCCCGGCTTGATGTCAAATCGTAAGAGGGGCGGCACCTCTCTTTATTTGAAGCATCCCGAGCCCCAGAGCAGCATTGCCCCGCGAGATCCAGCATGAGCCACGCATCGCCCCTGCAGGCGATGCGTGGTTGTAGATGTTAATGGTAATGTGCATGTTGTTGGTGATGAATTCGATCCCTGTTAAAACATTAACTAAACATCACTGCATAATATTTTATGCAGTGATGCATAAAACATACAGAACATACAAAATATGTTACATAAAAGAAAAAGAAGACTCACATCAATCAAGGCCCCTCCGATTGGAGAACCCACCATGTTCCCAGTTCCCCACAGGATTTCCAAAAGTGCCTGCGTAAAATTCACTAGGTTAAAACCTATCTTATTAGTATACGTCTCTTTTCTTGTTGGTTTTGAGTTTATTGACCAGTATGCTAGTCTCCTTAGCTGAGGAGGTTGTTCTTCTTATCAAGTTTATGATCCTGTTTGCTGTTTTCTTTTTTTTTTGCGAAATAATAGACGATTTTGTTTTCGTGCAGTCTGGTAGATTTCAAATATTTTTCTGGTGTTTCTGTTTTATAATAAAACATGCTGCTTGTTGCATTTTTGTACGTGATGTTGCTTTGATAAAGAAGAGTAGTACTAGTAACTGGGGCATGAAGTATACGTAATCTCGGATTAATGAAATTTTCGGTATTGTATATTCTACCTCATTACGGATGCCTCTAATGCAGGAATTACAAAGCACTATACTCGATGTCAATTATTTTTACCCCTATTGTCAAGGCGAGCATAGCTTTCATAGCGCTGCAGTTACATGCGTGGACAAAGTTATTTCACAAGCATATACAGTAGTGAACAAAAATATTGATTTTGTTTTTCTTTCAGACAGAATGCTCGAGGCACGTTTAATAGCCACTTATGTTTAAGATCTGTTTTTTTTTTTATGCGGTGCGACATAATGCCCCGTTTTTCGCCACCAACGGGTGAGTGTTGCATCCCCGGTGATTCTTATTTTGTTTGCCGTTTGCGTGCTTATCTTCTTTTTATTATTGTTGTTTCCAGTCAACTACATTTTGGAATTTTCAGAAAATATGTAGAATCACAATTTTTTTATTATTTCTTCTTGAAACATGCGTAATTTTCAAGCATTGGGAAAAGTACGAGGCGCACGAAACTCTGCGGAGAATGTTCAGAAGGCTATTATCCACAACAGCCACTCTGGGATGAAGCAGTGCCAGCTTTCTGGGTAACTCAAAGTACCACCATCAAAATTTCTTAAATTCTCAAGAGACAGAGGTTCAGAGGAGGTGTCTTCACTCGGTACCCTCCAGGACCACCCAGGCCGACGTCCCACCTGGTCGATAAAAAAGTTGTTCGGACGAGCCGCACGAACCCTCAATTATCGGATTATCGGCCATGAATATTTCCAAAGATGTGTCTCAGAAATCTGGTTTTACGGTGTTTCCATGGATAGTAAGACACCGTCTGCGAGCTGCCGGACTAAATGCACGTAGGCCACCTCAGAAGCCAATAGAAAGGAATAAATAACCGGACATTCAGGTTGAAACAGGCAATAGAGCACCTCAAGTGTACTCTTGACCAAAGGAAGAAAGTTGTCTGGTCGGAAGAATCTTAAGTTTATGCTATTTGGTGGTGATATAATTGAACACATGCGATGTCTAAGCAATGACAGATTTTATGCGCGCTATCAACTGCCTATAGTGACGCTTTGTAAGTGGAACGTCGTGGCATGAGGTTGTTTCTCTGCTGGTGGACAGCCAGGTTAACCCTTTTGTCTTTATATACACTAATTTTATTTATTTCTGCTCGTGGTGTTGGTTCCTTTCACAGGACTCCTAAAGTAATGACGAAGCAAATCTCCGAGAGAATCCTTTAGGACGTCTTGCTTCCCTGAGCATGGAGGAGTTTCAGCAGTGGCTATATATTTGAACAGGAAAATAACCCCAAGCACTTTGCCAGGCTTGTGGGTAATCGGCGCAAGAAAAAAAAAAAAATGTGCGCTTGATGGAGTGGCCGTGTCAGTCTACTGACGTATGTTCAATCGAGCACCTTTCGAAATATTTGGGGCGTTGTATGAAGGAAAATAAAGCCAGCAACATCGAGCAGAATTTTGACCAGCTGCAACAAAAATGGGCGAACTTGGATCAAATGGTCTTCGACATTTTGCTGAACTTTATGGCTTATCGATGCCGAGTTATGATCACTCTGAATAGATTCTCTACAAAGTGCTGTAAAACCCTTAATATGCACGAGCAAATAGCTTTAGCGATTTTTTCTTATTGAAAAATTAGCTAAGTGTAAGGGCCGCGAAAATTTCGGTCCTTAAGAGTTTCAGTGCAGGTGTCTGAAATTCACGAAATTTAGTGGCCTCGATTGTGTCCTCTTTGACCGAATCGCGTAAAATAGGGGCCTCGAAAATAGATGGCTTTACAGTATTAGTCAGCTTATGTATCTATCTAGAAATTTGGGTTTACACGAAGTCCTATTTTGTCACAACAAGCACATTATCGACGATGCTCTGTTTGGCTGCTGTTACTATTTTTGCAAGAAATATATAGTAATTTCTTTTAAATATTTTTGTAGAAATATATAGCGATGTTAACAAGTTATGTTTGTTTAGTGACCACTCTCTTTTCAACATTGACCTATCCATTGACATTCCCGTTCCTGTCACGTCAAAGAAAACATTTCGTAATTACGCTAAAGCCAACGCTGTGAGTATAAACGCCGAGTTATTGGATTCATTCCCAAACTTTGAGCATCACTTTAATACAAGTTCGGTGAAAGCAAACTGCTGCATATTCAAAGAACTTATTCTCCATCCCCAGTTCGCCATGGTTCACTCTTAATACGAAGAGAATGCTAAGGAAGACAAAGAAGCTATTCAAGTTGGCAAAAAGGAAGGATAATGGTGACGCCTCGTGGTCTCGCTTCCGTGAATTTGCTAAAACTTGTAAACGTGAAATAAGAACGGCGAAACGTAATTTTTTTGAGAACGACCTGTATAACATTCTTATCTCAAATCCACGGAGATTCTGGAAAATTATCAATCCTTCTTCAAAGAAACGTCCGATCGTCTCAGATCCGACTGGAAAGCAGCTGACTGAAACTGAAGAATGTGACAGATTTAATGAATATTTCAGTAGCGTCTTCACTCGCGAAACGTTACCTATGCCGCAATTAGCTTCTCGGGACGCACTTGGCGAAATGGGGTCAGCAACTATTTCTTCTGGAGGAATATAAAACTTAATAGAGCAACTTCCAGTCAGCTCTGCTCCTGGTCGCGACGGGATAAACAGTAAGATTTTAATAATTACTAAGCACATCTCGTCCCTGTACCTGGGTAAAATTTTCAACCAATCACTTGTTACTGGTATGCTTCCCAATGACTGGAGACATGCAGACGTCATTCCAATTTTTAAGTCTGGGTCATCTGACAATCTGAGCAATAACAGGCGTATTTCTTTACCAAGTGTATGTAGTAAGCTCCTTGAAAATATTATTTTTACAGCCATAATGCAGTTTCTTGATATCAATGATGTATTTTTTTTTCTAACCAGCATGAATTTCGTAGGAATCGATCATGCACAACACAGCTTTTCGAGTTGGTAACCGATATTCACAGTAATTTTAACTCACGAAAACAAACAGACGCTCTCTTTATAGACTTTTCGAAAGCTTTCGACTGTGTGCCACATTACAGGCTTAGAGTAAAATTACAAAACTTAAAAACAAATGCAACTGTGGTTAATTGAATAAAAACTTTTCTTGCGACTAGAAACCAATCCGTACGTCTAGGTGAAACATCTTCACAATCCTTACCAGCTATTTCAGGCTTACCAGAGGATACTGTACTGGGCCCATTTCTCTTCCTTATTTATATAAATTATATCGGTTATCGCCTGAGAAGCTGTGTTCGTCTGTTTGCTGACGATCTTGTTATTTATCACGCTACTTTCAGTGAGGATGATTGCCTAAAATTAAAAGAAGACCTATCTCTAATTGAAACCTGGTGTGCCGAGTGGCTTATGTCCATTGTACATAATAAATATAAATGTGCATTTTTTTCTAAATCCTGTGACCCAGTAAATTACACCTATCAACTTACATCCCAGCCCATTGAAAAGGTTTCATCTTTTAAATACCTTGGCGTGCACTTAAGCTCTGACCTCTCATGGAGAACTCATATTGAACACATAACTTCCAATGCTAATAAAACTTTAGGTTTTCTAAGACGCCATCTTAGTGAAGCTTCACCGAAAATCAAACAGCTGTCATACTGCACCCTTTTTAGATCCAAGATGGAATACGCTTGTACCATTTGGAACCCCCATCAGGCTTACCTATCCGACATGTTAGAATCAATTCAAAACCGCGCAACTAGATTCATTCTTGCTGACTACTCACCCACGAGCATCTCTGCCCTTAAGGCTTCTTTATCACTACCTCTTCTTAATACTAGACGCACCGTAGATAGATCACCTGTTTTACAAGCCCTGGTCTGACCATGAATTTTTCTTTTCAGCCAGTCATGTCTCCCTACACCGTGATCATTGCCAGAAGATATAAATGCCCTTTGCCAGAACCAGCATTTTAAAAAACTGTCCCATTTTTTTGTGTATACGGGATGGGAATGCGCTACCTGAGTCCATTGTGACAATTACTGATCATGCCTCGTTTTTAGCAGAACTTACTAAGCATATCATTGTATAATGAAGATATTGCACTGTAAAATAACAGATGTTCTTTCAGCCTATTTGTCCCTAGATATGATTTTAAACCTTGAAGTCTTATATTGTGTTTTATGTTACCCCCCTTATGCAATGCCCTCCAGGGGCCCTGAAGGTATAATAAATAAAATGAAATGAAATGAATTATGACTGTCTAACAGTTGCCGAAAAGTTTAGCTACGTAAGATCAAAATAGGATATTTTTTCTTCACTACTGTACATACATCTAGCTCTTAAAGACTCGTATTTTCCTGGCCTTTTTGACGTCAACCGCGCTACCACAGCGCGGTTGACGTTTAAAACAAGGGAAACACCTACGACACCGCAAAGTTAGGGTAGGCGCAACGCACTTGCCATGATCAGACCTGCGCCTTTTTGAAACCGAGTGGTGAATAGCGCGAACATGGCGACCAGGTAGAGAGTGTTTGAGAAGCCACCGAGAACGACGAGTAAAAACGAGAGTCCCAGGAAGACATTTCCAGCAGGAGCCCAGAACAAACATCTAAGGAAGAAAAGGAGAGCATGTTTTCAGCGGCCAAGATGGTTGCACTCAAGACACAAATAACAGTCAACTTGTGTGTTCCTTCACGAAGGTTATATCAGCAGTCGGGACATTTTTGTGAATTTGTCGGCAGCATAAATACAGGGGGCGAAAGTGACGAAGCAAAAGCTATTAAAACATTTTCACGTGTCGACCCCCGAGAGCAAAACGTTAAGTTTTCCAGATTCTTCTTATCTAGTATAAAAATACAATAGCAAAACAAAGTACATGTTATTATAAAAAAATAGTATATGTTAAAGATAGCTTAAGGAATTTCTATAGAAAAAAAAATCCAAGTATTAAAAAAGTAGTGAAAATTGCATTACAACTAAAGAGATATATAAACAGTCAATGACAACTAATGAGTATAGATATCATGCTACAGCCCATATATATGATTAGCTAATATGTTTTAATGCTTGCAACGCATTTGAACTAAAGCTGCTTCATACAAAAGAAGTCGCGACATCCTTTGAAGAATGCCGCCTGCCATCTCGGGCCGATCCAGGCGGCGCTACCGTCGACGCGCGGGTGTAAGAAGTAATACATAAAGATAAAAGGTTTGCGCGTCAGAGAAGGATGAAGAAGGGATGTCTATGCTGTCAGAGAGCAGTGTATGCTATGAGCTCATGTCGCCAATCAAATAACGCCGATTGTGTAACGTCACGGCTTTCATCGTCTTTCTTTGAGCACATACTTTGAGGCTGGTAGACCGTGACAGTGCGCTTTTAGTCTGTATGTATGTATTTGCGTGTCTCTTAGCTTTTCAATGCGCTCTGACTCAAGTATAGGAACGCTATCTGCTATGTTGGGCCGATCCAGGCAATGCTACAGTTAACGCGCGGGCGTAGAAAAGCAAAACACAAAACATAAAGATAAAAGGTGTGCGCGTCATAGGAGGAGGGAGAAGATGCCTCTACCTTTCTTATTCAGGGCAATAATTAGAGCAGGTCGTCAAAGCTTTGGGGCAGGTTTTGGTCAATATTTTGAATATATAGAAATTAAAGTGACTGATAAACACATTGGCATATCGCCATTTTGAATTGGGAAAACACTTTGGTACAGTGCGTTCAGTGAAACTTACCCAAATGTGACAGTGAAAATCACGAATCCAATTTGCCCTACCAGGTAGCATGTTAGTGGCGAAGTTGCTTTCATCTAGAATCGAATTATATTGGCAGTAAGAGACACTCACATTTCTAGTTATGAGTAACATGGGTAATGATGAACAAACCTCATACCAAAGATACACTTTAAACCAAAGCGGTAAAAACCCTTTCCGGTCAGATTGAGCATGAGAAAAAAAATACTTCGGATACTTCGCGACGCAAAATCAAAGATGTGAGCAAACTAATTTGAACTTGAAAGAAAGCTAGGTTAATCCCGGCACTGATATGACAAACTTGGTGTCCAAGTTCTATACACAGCCGCAAAAATGCATTAGGGAAGAAGTTGAAGGCTGGAAGCGTGCATTAAAGTTTAGTTTAATGTTCTTGAAGCATATACCATTTTGTTCCCAAGCAGCGATCCTACAAACATGGAGAGTTTGAACGCTGAGAAGACAAGTCCCGTCTCCCATTCGTCCAGTCCTTTTGAAGTCGCCTGAAAATATTAGGTACTACGCTTAATATCAAGAATAACGGGATGAGTACAGTGCTCATTGGCGGCGTGAGAATAAGGGTGACATTTAACAAGGCAATGAAAATACATGTTTTATACACCAAAAAAAAATACAGAATAAAAATACACGTTTAGTTACATTCAATATAGAATTATTAATTTCTCTTACATTAATAACATTAAAAATTTTTTTTTGAATAAGTTCATCTTAGACTTGAGAGGACGGATGCTTGAGCGAGTTGGTTGTTCATGCTTGGGTCAAAGAGCGCTCAAGATTTACGCCCAGAAGACAGGCACACAAAAAAAATTGCACGTACACAAAAGTACAAGAAGTAGAAGTAGGAGACGTAGAAGAAGGTGATGATAAAAAAAAAAAGAAATACAAACCTGAGTTGTTATTCAGCGCTGTGTACATGTGATTTTTTTTTGTGCGCCTGTCTTCTGTGTGCAAACCTTGAGCGCTGTTTCACCCAAGCAGGATAATCTCAGACATCCGTCAAAAGATTCTTGGGTTCTAAAATTTAAAACTTAAAATGTCTCTGTAGATTGTAAAATAAATTGTAGCTGCACGGGGAATGAAATAGACAAGAAATTGGTCACGAACAGTGTCCCATATTCGAAGTATAAATATTCTCTCAGCCTCGTCAATGCCGAGCTTCCTCCCCATGTCGCAGTGATTGGCTTTTCGAGCGCTTATCAGGGAAGCCGGCACAAACTTTTTTTTTTTTTTTTAATTCAACCTTTTTAATTACTGGCCACTTAAGAAACGCAAAGTGTGCCCAGCTTCGAGCATCTTAGTGTCACACCGCGGCCTATAAAATTGCTCTATTAGTCCAAAGGAACGCAGAAAAAATAATCACACCCTGGGGTTTCTACGCCTTCCGTGACTACAGCTGGGACTTAGCATTTGTTCAATCGGTCCTTACTGGAAGTTTGGAGCGGCTTTCTCAAAAAAGATATGAATGGGTTATTTTCCTTGAAGAGCCTCGGGAAAAACCCTTCTAAGAGCTAGTCTGGGGCGCTTGCTCGCCTTGTGAAGTCTTGTTGGCTTGTATAGGCTGCCTCAGATAAGACCGACAGATTCTATTTCCAGGAAATCCACCTCGTAAGAAGAACTGTTTTTTGCGTCAAAATGTTTCTTCGCGAGTCCCGTCTTTCGTTAGCCCCTGCAAAAGCATAGAACTCGCACTGTTTGACAGAACTCTATATGAAATGTTGTGATAGTTCACACAACCCGAAAGTATCCTGCATGCCTACAGCCTCAACGTACACCCAGAGTACCAATCACTGTTGTCTTCCGTTCATATTAACCAATGACATAAGCGATTTGTTTTCTCCTGCAATAGTTAACGAGTCTCAACGGTAAAAAGGACGGACGCTGTTTTCGCTCTCAAATAGCCTAGCTATTGAAGCATGCTATATATCGACCTCATCACAGGCTTGTCGAGCTAAGAAAAAGATGAAACATGGTATTCCCGTTGTACACTTAGGAACTTTATCAAATGCATAAGAAAACCTTGTTTTCAGCGCTTTCAAAATGACACAACTTGCTGAATTGGACCGAACTTTGCGTACACGTAAAGCGTAGTGCAATTGTCCAAGCAAAATTCAATGAACACACTCATGGTCCTTTCGGTGACTCACCAGGAGCGGAAAAAATGGCTGAATGAGCGAGAACGCGCCGGCAATCCAAAACTCGCAGTACACCAACGGGAAGAGCCAGTCGTCTTTCTTCAGAGTCTGGAGAATCCTTCCTGGAGACTCTTGAGACTGGTCTTTGTTGGGTGCTTGGGATGACGGACCATACCATGGGTATCTTTTCTTCGCTGGAGTTGTTTCGTCGCCGTAGGCCAAGTCGCGCTCTCCTTGATCCACGCCGGCGAACTCCGCGTGATTTTCCGCAGTTTCTGACTTCCTCAACAGCAAAGGCGTCGCCATGACTTAGACCTTCCTCGGTTCTTTCAACTGGATTCTGCCGGCGTGTTGTCTATGGAAATAAACATGGCCAACTTTCTGGGACATTCTTTGGAATATACGATATGATTTTAATATGATATTAAAATTATGATTGATGTGCATTATATGGATACCCAGGCAACTAAGTTTCTCGGAAACATTAAAATCTTCTGTAAGGAAAGCAAAAACAATTTTGTGAATGTGGCTCATCGTATTTGATGAGAAAATGTTTTTAGAGCCGTGGAATAAGAAAATTTACACCTCCAAAAGTTGGATTACTTCTTATTGATACTTTATGAGTGCCATCTAAAATATTTCAGGGGAATATTGTGATGCTTGTTGTTGTTCAGTTGAAATTCTTATCTTATTGTATGCTGAGGCGTTGACGTCTAAAAAAGTTGAAGATCTATTGCCCTCCAAAAAAAGAAAATCCCGTGACCAAAAAATCCGAGATAGATAATAACAATAACTTCTATCTAGGCTATGAAATGGCATTCAGGCTTGCCCTTTATGTCTCTTTTTTGCTCGTTAGGCGACCGTTAATTACCCCGGTTTATAATTATCATCGAGTGCTCCGCAGTGATCCGCCTCCGGACGAGACAATATCGTTTAGTGTTTCGGGGTACGTGCAGTATTTACACTTACAGCCCCTCCTCTCCCCCCCCCCCCCCCCCCCCTCCAACCAAAAAAAAAAATAAAAGAATTCGTGGCGCAGTGTAATATGCTTGCGATCCTTGCTTCGTGGTGTATTCAAAGCCATTCTTCTAAGCGGCTGTCGCAGTGTCATTGTTCATGGAGCGTTAACTAGGTGATCGGAAGTCGTCAAGCCCTGCGTGTCTTCTGTTGTCGGCGACTAGACGGCGAGAAAGGGTTTCGAAACGCCTCGTTGAAGCATCCCAACGCATAGAGGGCGACGTAGAGAACGTGCAGGCGACACGCGGTGACAAGGCAACCAAGCGCACTTCATCAATGCTTGAGATCGGGGAGGGGGGAACAAAAGTATGTGGGCGCGTTGGCGGATAAGCAAACACACAAAGTGCACAGAGAGAAGACAAAGTTCCACGCGGTGAAGGATATAAAGACTCTGTTGTGCCTAGATAAGCTATCGTACTCTGGTCAAGAAATAAGCACGTGTTACGTACAGCTCAAGGCTGCGCAAAGTGGTTTTCCCAAAATGTAATTGACAACAAAAAAAAAAAAGCTTCATTACCTGGAAACACGTTGTTTCTTTTATACATAAAAGGGCGAAGAAGCTATCTTAAATGCACACACAAGTGCCTCAATTCAACGCACAAATTGGGAAACTGTAACCCTCCGCTAGTAGCCGAACTTGTTTTAACTGTGGTTATTGAGGAGTAGGCACGTGTGATCGAAATATAATTGCGACCATGCTAAACTTTTAGATGAGAGGCCGCGGAGCTGCTTCTGTTGAAAAAAGTGGCATCGCTGTGGTCAACTTGTATGACAGTTCCGTAACATCATTGTGGGTCTGCGTGTATCCAAGCAGACGCGGGGGGTGGCATTACAGTCCTATTCTAGATGATAACGTTTGGTAATAAAAACATTTTGCAATGTAGCGCTAGCCACCACCCGGTTTAGGGTGCTCAACTGTACGCATGCCTTCATCCACCCTTGTTCCTTTGTCGCAAAACTAGGTCTGCACTGCATTTCCTCTTCAACTACCGTCTAAACATTTTGAGGCAGCTATAGTTTTTTTTTTTCTTTTATTTTCGAGGCGTTACAAATATTTAAGAACTATTGCCCCTATAGCCCGGCTCAACCGCAATTCGAAAGTATAAGTTGGCTCATGAAATTCAACAACATGGCTGCCAAAATGTATAAGTGCATTCACAATATTTTAGACAAATTACATTAAAAATAGTAAATAACGTTTCTTAAATGTTAGCACTAAAAATGTTACTTACTTTGGGAGTTTTTTCGACTGGTATCACGAACGTATGGCAATTTACATATAGGTAACGTGCAAATAAAATATATTTATGACAGCAAACTCTGACAGGCTACCTATATCGTATAAAAGAACCCGACGCGGGTTTTTCATAGAGTGAGAAATAACTAACGACCAATTTCCAAAAACAGGTGGTACTCAACAAGAACAGCTTTCGCTTCTGCTTCCTGGTTTGTATGTTTGTATTCGGTTTTTACAAACTCGCATAGAGACGGTGAGGCTCCATAATGGAAAGCACATATCACAGAGCCCTGAGGCTTCAATGAAAGGTTGGTAAATGATAGCGTCAGAAGCAGTATACGAAACTGCTAAAAACAAACACAAATATATATATATATATATATACTCTTTTTTTTGGGGGGGGGGGGACATATTTTATATACAATGTTCTTATTTCAAAGATATGACATCTAGAAGCAGGTAGCTATGTTTTCTCACCCATCGAATCCTGCCTGTTGTTCTTGCAAAAAAGATTTTGCTTCATTCTTGCATGCACACCGAGTTCGATCATCATCGCCAACGAGAATAACTGTGTTATATGATTTCTGAAATCTTAATCACTGTCATTGACAACAATGTAACAGTCATATATTGTTGCACCATTGTGAAAAGCTGACACTGTTCAGAATGATGCGTTGTGCCTGGGATTTTCTAACAAGGACATGCAACGAGTGTATCCGAAATAAAATTCTGTCGTGCCTCAGATGACACACAACAGGCCATTGTCCTTTCTTTTTTCTACTTTACCCTCTCGCGCTGCCTTCTTGTGCGTAGCAAATTTGCATTCTATTGTCATCATAAATTAGTACTGATAGAATTGTTTTTCTATCACCAGTTTTATTTAATGGACATTCCGGGAATACACTTCGCGGAACGTTTGACGACGGAAGGCGTACCAAGAGTTTCCAAGCATCTCGACGTCGTCAACCCCCCCCCCCCCCCCCCCCCCCCCCCCCTGTTCGGGGCTTTATTACTCTCCTCTCGTCTCCTACTTGTGATAGCACATATACGCGTGAACGAAATTAACTGACAATTATTTGTCTGAGGCCTTTTGACAATAAAAATAATAGTAAAATGGTAAAGTGAGGTGTCTTTGATGTGTTTTAAGTTTAACACCAGAAAGCTATACAAAGAATTATAATTTCAATGGGCGTTATGTTAGCACATTTCTTGGTGAGCAAATTGAATCGGTACCTTTCTAATATTTAATTTAGAATGCCGTCTCGAACAGTATACTGGCTTTTTGTGATCTCATTTCGTCCACGATTAATTTAAAAAAAAGGTCGTACTAGATCTGCCCCTCATTTTGAGTCATTCGTTAGGTAAGGCGCAACCTGAAACTGAAATGTACTGACAGAAAACTCGGCAGAACGCAGGGTGCAAAGAACGCGGCACTCACGCTAAGCGAAAGCTGACAACCACCTCAGCATGAAGCAATTTATCAACATCAACTAGACATGTTTTCTTTCTTTCTTACAGAAATTCGCCGCAACCGACTACCTATATGACAGCACCCGAAATAGAAGGTGTGAACTCAATTCGCATCATAAAGTTCTACCCAGACAGCAGAATCGAGGGCGACCATGTGCGATAATGGCAGAAGAGTCACAAAAGTGTGTAGTACTGCGATGTGGAGTAATTTACTGCTGATGTCCTGTTGCACCAAGTACAACGAACTTTGAATAGAGTAGCTTAAAGCAAAATAAGATTAATGTTCGCATCATTAACTTGTTCTATGTATACGCGTTGGAAATTGTCAAAACTAGCAAAAGGGTACTATAATGTTTTTGAGTGCATCGTCTCTTAGGCGAACTTTTATTTCAGAATGAAGAAGAAAGTAGATGGTGCTACGGCGACTTTCTTCAGAATGATAGCTAGAAATTTATTCTAAGAACATGTATCGATATATATTCTGAATTAATTAGGTAATTAAGTTCATCATTTTGTTCCTGAATACACACTAAAATTGCGGGGATGTTAACTTTAATGGGGCTTCGGTATAGACCCAAATTGAAGTGTTACATTCAATTTATAATTCCTTGACACGTTGCACAATTTTGTAGCGCTTTGAAAAGGCAATAAAAGAAAAATCTTTTTGCTTTATCTCGTTGTACGTTCGACGAGTATGTTCATTCTTTGCGAGGAATCAACACATCCAATCAAAATTGGCCTGTGATAATATTTTCACTAAATAGTGGGAGGCCTAATAAGAAATCGTTAAACAGGTATCCCATAGGAAAACATACTATGAACAGAAATATTTCTTGCACCCCACGCCAAGAGCAGGCGTAGAAACAAGAAACAGGACGTGGACCGTTAGCGTAGCGCCATTAAAAGAAAAACTAACTCTGGCTGGGAGAACGTAAAAAAAAAGCGATAAGCGTTGAAAAGGTGTAAACAGCGCAAAAGAGCCAGAGACGGCAAGAAAAAAAAACGAAAAAAAAAAAGACGGCCGAAGCAATTAATGAGGAATTTGAGCTCAGATGTTTATTCAGCAGAATACGACTTAAATTAAAACTTTGGATTGGGCTCGTTCGTTCATTGTGATCAAGCGCCAGTCCGTGTTGTATGTGTCTCTTTTTCTTCCGTGTTTTTGTTTTTTATTTGCGCTTTTCAGTTTTCTAGTTACGACTTTAATTTTTTTAGGAGAAATTGCAATTTTTAAGCGCTTCTCAATAGACACGGTTTTTTTTTTGCGAGGTAATGGTAACAGGCCATGAGAACTATTTTATCAAAGACATACATTGCACGACTTATTTTTTTGCGGACTCAATATTTCGGGATTTCGGTAAAAGCTTATGTTTTATAATAATTT